CACACATACATACATACATACATATATTTATATACAGAGAGAGAAGAGAGAGAGAGGAAGTAGAAGAGCTTTTAAGACACTGTCTCCTCTCCTCGAAGGATACGCGATAAGAATCGACTATTTACACATCTTCATGTGGTCGTGCAGAGGAGGAAGGCGTACGGCGATTTCTTTGGGGATGAATATTTCTCAGACAAACACAGGATAGACAGTAAGGACTAAGTCTCTGCTGGAAGGAAGGAGGAGAAGCGAAGCAGAAGTAAGCTGGACATTTTCCTCATGATGAGTGTTTTTTCCACTATTTTTGGAGTTTGCGTGTTTCTGCTCGGGCAAATGAGTGAAATTCAGGCGAAGCAAACAAGCTCGCTTCCGGCCGACCGGGCGACCCATGAAGAGGACTCGGAAACTGGGCGTAATGAGGCGACATTCCACGGCCGATACGGCAAACGCCAGTCCCCCCCAAGTGATTAAGGTATCCTAAGCTGTAGACATTAATTAGGCGTATAATCACTTGGTAAATCTGGACAAAAAGCACTTTCCCTCTGCCCTGTTGGGTAGCTTCCGCTCATGTTTCCTCTGTTGATTTAGGCAAAACGAGCAGACGATTCACGTTTTGATGAAGTTGGTCTTGACTGTCAAGTCGATTTGTCCCACTTGAGACCCCTTTAAGAAAAAGGGAGAGCTGAGGACATAGAGGAGCAGTGAATGGAGTGGAAAATGGTACATAAACCGCTAAGACACTTGGGAAAATAAGTAAACCGCTTGTAGAGACCGGATTAGGCCATCGTTGTCCTATTTCCTCTCCCAAATGGACGACAGCACGAGGTCAGGCCTTCCTTAAAAACAGCTCCACAAATGGATCAAGTCGAGTTGAGGCCGAACTGAACCGAAAGACCAATCGCTAAGAGAGAAGGCGGAGGAGACGGAGGAGACGATAGACTCGATATGGTGGGGACGGTGGACCCGAATGATGGGACAAGTTGAGTATCGCTAGGGCAAGGACAACTTGAAGAGAGCCATTGGGACACTTGATTTGAGAGCACCGAGGCAGACAATTGGCGAATGAAGTGCTCCTAGACTCAATAGAAGGGATTGGGCTGTCGGATTTCGGCATGGTAATGAATGGTATGGACAATTTGTGCGCTTGTCTTGCAGGCGCGAGGGGAGTACAAGAGGGGACGGGAAAGAAGGACTGGCCCAAAATGAAGCCCGAGAGGGATGGCTCTTTAATTCTTGTAGTCTCAGTCATTTATTCTCATATTTCTTATGAGTGTATTTGGAGAAAAGCAGACATTAGTTAGCTTCGGCACTTAAGGTCTTCTAATCCGGACATAACTGCAGTATTAACTCAATCAATGTATCATTAGCAACCGCGGCATGTGCGTAGTGTAAAGAAATGTTTCAGCTATACTCCAGACACCAATGCCAAGAGTCTAAATGGAAGATGGCCAACCGGAACTCCAACACTTCACTTTTTAATAAGCACGAATGCAAATAGAAATAGCCTCCATCCTTGGCTGGATCGAGGTATCTTTTCTGTTATTTTAGATAAAAACTTATGTATTTAACCTAATCATTTCTATAAAAATTGTAAATGCCTCAAGCTTAAGAAAATAAGACATCTACGAGTCTATGAGTAATAACGCTTGAAGAATAACTAGACAGCTTATATATATAAATATATAATTATATATATACATATATAACAACTAAGAGTACCTAGTTCTTGCTTAAGCCTAATAGAATTGTAAACCTCTCAGACTCTTCAGTTTGGCATAATTGTATTTATCATAGATGAGATTAGGTAAAATAATTCAGTTATCGGGAAAAGCAGAAAAAAATATACGTCGATTCAGACGAGATGAGATGCTAATACTATATTCGTTTGCATTTTGTGGTGTAAACATGGTGATAGGATTGATGAGTAAGAAAAACTGATAATGATGAATAAAAAAGGAGTTTGATGAAAAATGTAAAATATGGCTTAAATAGGTTTCGCAAGAGTGGTTGACTTAGATTTTTTGTAGGAATACAATTGAAACAGTTAATTCTAATAAGACCTGAATTAACCATAGGTTGGATAACTGATGAAGTATGAATAGTTGAATTTTTCCACAATGATATCAGTAGACCCCATGCTTTTAGTGAATTCCACTCATCCCCGTCTCCCAAAAGGTATTCTCATCCAAGCTGGACTGAAGTTTCGACTTCGTCTAGGCTGTATCAACATCCCAGCAGGAATAAAACCTGAGAAATATGGGAAAACTCAACTATCAGACATTTCTCACTTTATGCGGTCCATTGTAAATACAGCTCTTGTTTAAGATCCACTGGTACGTTCTGAGCCTTCTCATTCAGAAAATAAGGAAAGAAACAATCTTACGGCCTTGTTGTGGTCCGTAGTTAAAGGTTTATTATCAATAAAATAAGTAATCGATTTAGCCTGGAATAGATTGATATTTGCTTCACCACCACTTTTACTTGTCCTGCTTCTGAGCTGGGGCTGCTAGCGAGATCACCCATCAAAATTGGGCACGTGGATAGAATAGGTATAATATGACAGGATGCAACCGGATAGAAGCAATAAACTGTACCCTGGCAAGTCGAGTTGTTATGTGCTTTATTTGGTAAATTCAACAAATATAGACTTCATTCTTATTTCGTATGAAAGTAAGTGATTTAGAGATTTGCATATGATTGAATATAAGTAAATAAATAAATAAAAATAAATAAATAAATATATATATATATATATAAGGTCACTTGTGCCGAATGAAGGACTGATTGGTGACTTTTTCCATAATAATTTGAGATTCGACTACAAATGGGATTTTTGAAGGTTCTAAATAGCTTTGAAGCTCATATTACGCCTGTGCTCCCCAGCCATCCGTGAAAGTGTTGCGGGGTAGCAACCTGTTGCTGCGATACGAACGACCCAGTTATGAATCAATTCGGGTGTGCAGATGATGAGTCTAGTCTTGAGGAGAAATGCTTTTAGGAGACAAAGTTAAGGGAAACTTAATCGTCCAGTTAGAAATATTCATATAATTTTGGATAAAACCTTATCATCAGTCTTAAAATCACATATTCTTGGATGACCTATTTTCTGAAGTCTACTGGAATGAGGAAGAAGGGAAGGATGGGAAGTGCATCCAGCACTCGAGGACCCGACGCCCCTCATAAGAGCAGGAAGGCAAATGTCTGAAGTCTGTCTATCCTAAAGTGGCACATATCTCAGGCATGGCAACATGTGAATTGTGCTTCCACGGCCGTATAAATTCTCTGAGAAATAGGTTCTTCTGAGGATTGGCGCTTCTTTTAGTCCTCTAATATTAAGGTACCGAGGCAGAATTAACGAACATTTCTGGAGTCAAGATGTAGGTGTTGATTTTTCGAAAAAACTGGATTTGTCTAACCAATTAATAGCTGATTCTCCGCTCTTAGCCAACATAGATTGTTGAAAACTAGCCACATTTGACGCACAACTTGAATAGATACAGCTATTTGTCTCCTTGGAATAGCCGATCATGTTGTCATTAATGAAGTACAGCGAGGTAATCTTCACTTTCTGGTGACAATTTCTGATGGGCAAGATGAGTGAATGGGGGTATAGCTCAATCCAACTACCACAACCATTGGCGGCAGTCAGAATGTGACGGCAATTTAATGTAAAAATCGACCCCTCCTCTTTGGGGGTTTGTGGTACTGATTCTACTAGTTTACATTTCAACATAAGAATAAAGGGCCAGCAAGTGCAGGGGCAAGAACTCGTTGACCTACTCAGTTCTCCTTAGGCCTGGGTGCTGTTAGGGGTCCGGCTTAGAGAAAGCTACAAACTTGTGAATAAGCAAGATAATGGTCAATCTAAGGAAATCTTTATTTGCTGTAAAAACTTGACCAAGTTGTCAGCAAACTTGGAAGCTTTCCCATTACAAATTCATTTTAATGTTGAAATATTCTGAATAAATCGCTTCAATGTGACAACGGTAAGTGCAACAAAAGAACAGTGTTGGCTTTTCGTCTCACGTCAAAGTATATTTATCATTCGTTTCAAAAATAGGTTTTAGAGACTACCAGTATCTCTGGTATGCCCTCAAAGCCGTTTAAGGTGATGAAGGTCTGGGAGTTGAATTTTTCCCACAATCAGGTATCCAATGAATTTCGCATAGAATTGCTGTCTTCGAGTTTTTTTCTACCCATCCTGACGGAAATTTCGGCTTTTCATAAGTTTAAGCGGCAAGCTAGCTGGAGTCGAACTCGTAAAGAGCCTATATGCTGCAATAGCGGGGTTCGAGACCCTCTGGTAGTGCTGATGACACCAAGGCGAAGTCGAACCTGCAGTCAGCCATAAATAGGAATACCTTATTGAGGGCAAGATTATGTGGAATTTAGTGTGAACATGAGCCCTTCTCATATGTTTGTGGAAAAACGAAACTCCAGTCCTTCATTATCCCAAACGAATTAGAGTGAATACAGCTCTTATCGCGAATTGTATCATTTTGGGATTCACACAACATCTCTATCTTCATGCCTTAATTCATACGTGACTTTGAGGACACGATGAACGCCTCGATTTCGAAGGGTCCCCAAATGTTTGTTTGTCTAGTGAACAGTGTATGCAAACAAAAAAAGTATAAACTAGCACTATAGCTAGCATTGAAAGTGGATAATATTGACAAAATATAACAATCGATCCTTAATTCACATTCAGAATGACTAAATGCTGATTTAAGAATTACTGATAGCCTCAAAAATTACTTATGCCAAAAATGAGTAACGTCGTAGATTGTAATTGAAAACACATATGCTAAATCAACACTTTACATGTGATTTAGTAAACGCCTGACTTACCTTGAATGCCACATCTGCCCCGTGACTCACCGTCAGTTGTGGCTGTTTAGGGTAGAGGTAAAGTCGTCATAATAGCCGCGACCGGGTTTGCTTAAATCACCTTAATTTCCTGTTCAAGAATTACAAGTCACGAAAAATATTTGCATAAAAAATGGGGTCCTCGATTACAATGTCAAACAAATCTTTGATTAATTGACATCCTCACAATAAATGTGACCTGGGTGAGCCCTGAATGACTTTAATGCGACATTATTACTGTCAATCTCTGGCAACCTTTGTTGTCTAGTGGAGCGGTGACGTCTCCATGACGCTGTAGATGAGGTCTAAGCTACAGTACACTCAGGACAAGTTAAACTTTCTGGAGACTGCGTTAAGTTTAATTCACTGGCATCCTGAGGCCTATTCATCAGATTGTGGGAAAACCTAACTAATCGTAAGCGACCTAGGCTGATCAACTATTTTATTTAAGATTTATTCAGCCTATTTCCTATTAGGTGATGAAGGATTGGTAATTGAAATTTCCCACAACGATATGAGTCCAATAAATTTCATATAGTCTCGCATTCCCAGTAGGCATTGTTATTCAGGGTGGACTACAGTTTCGACCTCGCCTAGGCCTTATCAACACGCCTAGCGGGAGTTGAACCATGACAATGTAGCATATAATTTTAAGATGTATTCACCTTATTTCGTTTAAGGTGATGAAGGACTAATAGTAGAAATTTCATACAATGATATGGGTAGAGCTGACGTTTCCATTGAATTTCACATAGCCTTGCTTTCCTAAAAGTTGTTCTCCTCCAGGCACCAGTGCACTACAGTTTAGACCTCACATCGGACTTATGAACACCCCCAGAGGGAGTCGAATCGTGCCTGGATGAGAACAACTTTTGAGAAGGCAAAGCTATGTGAAATTCAATGGATACGTCAGCTCTAGTCATATCATTGTGGGAAAATTCTACCACCAGTCCTTCATCACCTTAAACGAAATCGGGTGAATACATCTCATAATACTGAATTACTGGTAGTCTCCAGGCTCTACTCACATACGAAATATAAGTTAAATACGTTAACCACTACGCCACATTACCACGAGTGCCCTTGGTTCACAGGGCAGATGTGGATTGCAAATAAGGCCAGCATTTTTCCATATCCCATTCTGGGATTCCACTGTCAATGAGGCAAACTTATATTTTCTACTGCATTCGACGAC